CATGGGCATAATTACTCCACCTCGTCAAGAAGCGGAAGTTATGTCAGTGGGAGAGCATCTCTCGCCAACATAGCGTCGATGTGGACAGCATGAAACTTACGTCGCTCAAGGGTGTGAAAAAGTCTCCCCATCTCCAAGCAATGCAAGTTATATCGACTTAGGTTGTAGGGTAAATCTGCCCTTAGTCCTTCCTTGAGTGCAGGGGACTGGATTAGTTGATCTATGGAGGTCCCTTCTGGGGACTTATACTTCTATGATTCTATATGAATGAAGAAGGGCTATAATGACTAATAGACTGTACAGTCCCAGCCTGGAGCTGAGGCAAGCTATGAAAAGATGGATCATGTTGTTGCAGAGCACAAGTTACAAAAATATGCATTCACACGAGTTCACATCGTGTTGGGTGGCTCCACAACGTGCTTCAGGGGCGTATTAGCTATTTTCCTTATAAGCTCTGGATAGTGTGACTGGCCATAAAGCTAAAACCTGTGACATTCCAGATTTTGTGAGGCAAGGACAGCCATGAATTTGAGCCCTGAGGGGTTAATAAGTTAGCATGCCACTGATAATCAGAATATAAGGTATTTGTTGTGCTAGCGGGTTTAGCATGACTTTTTTACTTGAAAAAAATGGTAAAAATAACTGAGGGTTGGTTAGGAGGTTTTTAGGTTTGGTTTTGGTTTTTTGAGGCATTTGTAACAAACAAGGTACCTAGATTGTAATTTACAGAAGGAGTTGCTGAGATTGGGAGGAATTAATTGTAGTTCTTGATAAAAGTTTTGTATTTAAAGCTACATTTAATTAGATATTCCAGTCTTCATGTAATTCCTAAGAAGCTTGAAATCTTGAAATTGCCCTTTTAGCTTTTTTTAAATTAATCAGTTTAGTAAATCCAGCATTATTCCTAGAACAAGGAAGTGTATCAGAAGGATAAATGAGGCATTAACAGATCATTACTCATGAAAAAAACATATTTGAGGCTCACTCCATTTTTAGAAAAGAGCAACCTATTAAAGTAAAAGGATGGTCTGGTGGCTAAGGCACTGGCTTGAGCTTCAGAAGATCTAATTCAATTTCTGACTCTGCCCGATTTCCTGTGTGATCTTGAGCAAGTCACTTAGGCCCAGATTTGTAAAGGTTTTCAGGCATTCCTCAGCTAAATACCGGAAGGCCAAAGTGACTTGGGCACCTAGGCACCTAAGTCCCATTAACTTTCAGTGAGACTTAGGCTATGTTGACACTGCAGTCGGAGGTGTGATGGCAGCTTGTGTATGCTTTACAAGCCTCCCTTGAATCCTGGGTAAGGAGCCACTGTGTCTTCACTGCTGTTTTCAGGCATGCTAGCAAAATTAAAGCTAGCATGGGTATGCCTACCCAAACTGCAATCATACCTTCAACTGCAGTGTAGACATACTCCGAAGCTATTTCTATGTTGTGCTGCAGTGCAGACTACAGGAGTGTGAACTGCAGTGAGCACCAAAGTGTTGTGCTGTAACTCCCCCATGCAGGCACTGCCAGCATGATACATAGTTTGCGTTAACTTAGTCCTCTTCTAACAAGACTACATTGGTACAAACTAGGTACCTTTTAGTTCAGTAGACAAGCCCGTAGACTTCTAAGTCAGGTAGATGTTGCAATACTGAGCAGAACACCTAAATACCTTTAAAAATCTGAGCTTTAATTTCTCTGTGCCTCAGTTTCCCATTTTTTAAAAAAGGGAAAATAATACTCCCATTGTCTGTCTTGTGTATTTAGGTTTTAAGCTGTCTGAGACAGGAGGTGTCTCCCACTGTGTCTATGTAAAACTTTTAGCATGATCTTAATTGGAACCTCTGGTACTACTGTAGTACAAATAATGAGCAACAACAAAGTATCAGTATTAGTCCCTGAAGTTTTCCATTGCCTGTCCTTGCACACCACAGAAGCCCTAGCAAAGCCAAAGGTGCCCCATAAAATAGACTTCACACAATTTGCACATGTTTACGTAGCTTGGACATATTTTTAGTAGATTTATGCCAACATTTTTCACACTTGGGCTCCTAAATTTAGGCACTTAGATCCATATTTAGGTACTAACTGAAGAGGTAACAGGAGCTGTGATTCCTTCCCCTGAAACCTTTCTAAAAGTTTCAGTGTGGAACAAAAACAATCTGGCCCTGGATTTTTACAGATTTGTTTTCCATTGTCAATTAAACATCATATTTTTCTATCTAAATTACTGGGATGTGTAATTTGTAAGTGGTTTATGTGTTTACAGTCCTGGTGAATGCAACAGACCACTAAGTTGTAAGACCCACTCAGTTCTGCCTATGTAACCTCTAAATAGTCCTAAGAAATTAGGCTTAAACTACTATGTCGAAAGAACATTAGAGGACAGATACCATAGAACAAAATAAGTACCAAGCCTGAATTCACAGCTTTAGATAAAACTCTAGCCTTATGGCACATGTATCATATTTACTGTATGAACTGGCAAACATGACATCTAAGTATAGAATCTAAAAGACATCCGAGTAAGTTGGTCCATTTGGCACATCATCTTTATGATTATTGAAAAAGTAGCCTGGATAGACAGAAGATTCTTCTAAAATGTAATTACCTGCGTTTTTTTTTATTCTCTGCCTATTATCACAGGGAGGCTTTTTTGCATATAGTCATTAGCTATTTCTGCTTTAAGTTGCAGCCTCATTGAAAATTATACTGAATCTGAGTTTTAGCTTGCCTTAAAAAGAAGCTATCAATATTGAGCCAAATCCTAAAGTCCTTACGCATGTTCAGTTCAGTTCAGTTGGCAAAGATCTATTGTCCTTCTTAATAGTATTACCTGAGTAAGCACTTCAGAATTTTACATTTACAATTAAAATGTTATGAAAAATATCATTTTAGAATTTGTAAGAACACTTTGTGGGCTGAACCATCAGAAGGTGTAAGCAGGCATAGTTCCATTGAAATCCATGGAGCCATCACAATTTATAGCAGCTGAGGCTCTGGTCTTCTGGGTTTTGTGCATGTTCGGAGAGTTAGAAATGCTGGTAAACCTCTGAAGGCTGAAAAGCAAATCTCTTCAACACAATTCATATAGTTTGCCATGGCTTCCAGAGATCAGCTAAACATATGTTGGGACAGATACAAAATTCTCACTGCATTTCAGAGTTGTTTATTTAGGTGGTTAAAATTCAATTTTTTCCCCATGACTGAACTGGAACAGAAAGCAAGGACATTTGGAACCATGGAAATTTACTATCTTTAGTATTTACTGCAGTGACATTAGAAAGATAGTGTCATAGAAATAAAGGAATCATTTATGCTAAATGAAAACTTTCCTTTTTATTTACAGAACCACAGAAAAATGTGGAATGCCGCTACACATCCTCTTTCTTTTCCCCATTTCTTTTGTATGCAATAAGGCAACTTATAAGTAATACTTTTCCATTTGAGTGTTGTCAGTTTCAGCCTGCTGTTCTCCACTAAAGACTGTGGTATATAAACCATACCTGCTGGTTTGCTTAGAGAAGCAGCTGACTTCCAGTTCTGGGGATGGGAAGAAAAAAATTTCCTGTCTGTAATTGGATACAATGGAGTGGAGTGGTTTTTACCTTCCAGAACAGTACTGACATTACCAGCAGGAGAGTGAGCTTGTGTGGGGGGGCAGGGGAAGGGGGGGATGAGAAAAACCTGGATTTGTGCTGGAAATGGCCCAAATTGATTATCATACACATTGTAAGGAGAGTGGTCACTTTAGATAAGCTATTACCAGCAGGAGAGTGGGGTGGGGGGAGGTATTTTTTCATGCTTTGTGTGTGTATATAAAAAGATCTTCTACACTTTCCACAGAATGCATCTGATGAAGTGAGCTGTAGCTCACGAAAGCTTATGCTCAAATAAATTGGTTAGTCTCTAAGGTGCCACAAGTACTCCTTTTCATTTTGGGCATTGTGTTTGTTCCTTGTTTGAGTTTTGCCTCATACTGTTTGTGGGCCAGTATTGAGGATTCACTTAGCTGGGTTTGTTCTTTTGTTACGGCTTTGGTATTGGGCAGTGCATTGCAGAGGCTCAATCCAGTCCCACTGAAGTCCATGGAAAGATTCCTGTGGATTTCAACGAGAGTTGATCAGGCCCTTAATTCATTACCTGGCTTTAGATCTCATCCCAAATCAGAGAACAGGGCTGGGTGAGATACGTCATTGGCTCAATGAGAGAGCAAACGTGGGCAGGGAATTTAAATATCATACACAACTTGTATCATACTCCATATTTGGTCCTGTGCAGCAACACCTATATTCTACCTGTTCCAGGCACATCATTTCCACCTAGGTCCAATTACATAGAAATTCTCTGTGTGAATTTCCCACTGAAGTCAATAAGAGTTCCAGGCAAGAAACAACTACAGGATTGAGGCAGTTAATATCAATGGGAATTTTGTGCAAAGGCTCTGGGGAAAATAGACCTGTGAGTTTGTACTCCTAGAACAAACCACTGAATGTTTGCCTCCACCTGAAACAAACCAAAGGTCCTATCCCGACATCCATTTGTGCACTGAAATTCTGATTTCATAAAGAATGATGGCAAGATATGGCCAGGGGAGTGTAAAATGAAATAGAATAAATACAATGATAAGAGGTTAAAAAGAATTAAGGATTTTGGTAGTGTTAAATACATAAAATAAGCATGTATAGCCAGGGGTACATTAATACAAAGAGAAGACAGCACACATTGAGAGAAATATAAAGAACTGGAAAATGTTTGCCCATCAGTTTGCAATAGGAATTTTGCCTGAACAAGGGCTCGTTAAGGATTTGGCCTGTAACCCAGACTTCAACTGAATCAAATGAAGATGTTCAGTTAATGAAAAGTAGATTAATTTCTCACATCCTCATTTCCTTAGAAGTGTAGTTAAAATTTCCTTCAGTGAACTGGATTCATCGTTGCTACATAAGGTACAATCTTGAAATTTAATTGCAAAAAATCCTCACTCGTGATTTTTTTTCTTTTTCATCCAGATAAAGTTTATATTGTGCCTGAATCCAACCTGCAGCAGAAAAGATCAAGATGAGCCTTAATTCATCTACCGAAGAGACTGTTAAAAGAATCCATGTTGACTGCCCCGTTTCAGGAAGGCATGGCTATATATACATTATGGTTCCAACTGTTTACAGCATCATCTTTATTGTAGGCATATTTGGGAACAGTTTGGTGGTCATTGTTATTTGCTTCTACATGAAATTAAAGACTGTGGCTAGCATCTTTCTGTTGAATTTAGCCCTGGCTGACTTGTGTTTCCTAATGACTTTGCCACTGTGGGCAGCCTACACAGCCATGGAATACCACTGGCCTTTTGGCAACTGTTTATGTAAAATAGCATCAGCTGTGGTAAGTTTCAACCTGTATGCCAGTGTGTTTCTACTCACATGTCTTAGCATTGACCGTTACCTGGCTATAGTACATCCAATGAAGTCCCGACTTCGGCGCACCATGCTTGTTGCCAAAATAACTTGCATCGGCATCTGGCTGCTAGCAGGACTGGCTAGTTTGCCTGTCTTAATTCACCGTGATGTATTTTTTGTTGAGAATATGAATATGACAATTTGTGCTTTTCGGTACAAGACCCATAATACAACACTGCCTGTTGGGCTAGGTTTATCTAAGAACATGTTGGGTTTTTTAATTCCCTTTTTGATAATTTTAACAAGCTACACCTTAATCTGGAAGACGCTGAAGAAGGCTTACCAAATTCAGAAAAACAAGACCAGAAATGATGAGATTTTTAAGATGATTGTGGCAATAGTACTTTTCTTCTTCTTTTCCTGGATTCCTCATCAAGTGTTTACCTTTCTGGATGTATTAATCCAGCTACGTATCATAACAGATTGCCAAATTGTTGATGTTGTGGATACCGCTATGCCCTTCACCATCTGCATAGCTTACTTCAACAACTGCTTGAATCCCTTTCTTTATGGTTTTTTTGGAAAAAAGTTTAAAAAATATTTCCTGCAGCTACTAAAATACATTCCACCAAATGTCAGAGCACATCCAAGGCTAACAACAAAAATGAGCTCCCTTTCCTATCGACCATCAGAAAACTTAAGTTTATCCATGAAAAAGACTATTGGGTCTTTTGACATTGAGTGATGTCTTTCATGCTATATGCTTTAGAACAACCTTGTATATGAAATAGCAAGAGTGTCAAAGTTCACCCATAGTCCTGACCATCACAGCTTATTGCACATTACTTAAATGATCTACTAGATATCATCTTTGGAAGATTTAGAAGTGGCCTTTTATATTGTCAAGAGGACTGTTTGTTATTTTTATTTGAAGCAACCCAAGAAGATGGCAGTTGGGAGTCTTTTAGCATCCTGCCTCAGAGCTCAGAACTTTGGAAGAAGCGTACATGATGCTCCTGGAAAGATCTCAGAACTTAGGTTAAGGCATGATCATTTGTGAATTATATGAACTCTGCAGAATTTGCTTTCAACATACATAAGCAATTCTAAACTAACCATTTGGAATTGTTATACAAAGTGTTACGAGAGTCAAACAGAATGTTTGTTTTCTTTCACATTATATTTGGTGGGGATGGTGGAGAACAGAGTTACGTCTGAAATATGAAAAATATCCATTTTTCCTTGATACAAATATCACGTATCATTACCTTTATAATAAGGTGAAAATAGATATATGCAGGTCTCATTCCCATCTCAGATTGAGATTTAAGGACTTCAAGACTGTGTTCACATACCTTTTTGCTATTATTCATTTTAAACATGGCAAAAGTTTATATCTGAAATAAAATGCAGTTTTATTTATTAAATATATATTTTTTATAAATCTATGTTTCTATTAGTTATATGTCATACAAGGAAACATTACTTTGTACACACACATTTTTATCAGTATGTTAAATGTAGGGTGGGTATTTTTATGGCCATAGTTTATATATTAACCAGTCTTACTTTCACTTGACCATGAATATCCCCTATTGACTTCAGTGGGATTACTCATGGAATAAAATTTTACTTTACATTAGTAAGAGAATCAGAATCTGCCCCATATTAGCAAAATATGGACATCCTGTGATAGAGATTGTTAGCAAGCTTCAAAGGATCAGCCAAAATTATTTTCATAGAATAATTACAGCACTAAATGAAAAATAAAACACATTAATTCAATCCACTCAGAACTTCCAAACTCCTAAAAATGTTCCATTTTCTTCAGTATTTCTGGACACGCAAAACTCCACAAAGCAAAAATGTAATAATACTTATTGGCAAATTCTGCTCTCAATCATAGAAATGAAAATGTAGGACTAAACTTTGCTCTCAACTTCTATATTTAAACCAAAGTAATTATGAGCAGAATTTGATCATGAAGGATATCCTGAAGGATATGGAATTATTCCCCTATTTACACCTGAATAACTGAGAACAAAATCTGGCCCAATAAAAAAAATATTTGCAGACAAATTCTTGCCAATAAACCTCTAACTTTTAAAATAATTTTCTCACTATAAAAGATATTTAAGCACTGGAACAGGTTACCTAAAGAGATTACAGAATGCCAGTCACTGAAGATTTTTAAGAACAGGTTAGATAAACAGTTGTCAGGGATAGTCTAGTTTCAGAGTAACAGCCGTGTTAGTCTGTATTCGCAAAAAGAAAAGGAGTACTTGTAGCACCTTAGAGACTAACCAATTTATTTGAGCATGAGCTTTCGTGAGCTACAGCTCACTTCATCAGATGTATACCGTGGAAACTGCAGCAGACTTTATATATACACAGAGAATATGAAACAATACCTCCTCCCACCCCACTGTCCTGCTGGTAATAGCTTATCTAAAGTGATCATCAGGTGGGCCATTTCCAGCACAAATCCAGGTTTTCTCACCCTCCACCCCCCCACACAAATTCACTCTCCTGCTGGTGCTAGCCCATCCAAAGTGACAACTCTTTACATAATCAAGTCGGGCTATTTCCTGCATAGATCCAGGTTGGGCAGGAGAGTGAGTTTGTGTGTGTATGGGGGTGGGGGGGATGTGAGAAAACCTGGATTTATGCAGGAAATAGCCCGACTTGATTATGTAAAGAGTTGTCATTTTGGATGGGCTAGCACCAGCAGGAGAGTGAATTTGTGTGGGGGGGGTGGAGGGTGAGAAAACCTGGATTTGTGCTGGAAATGGCCCACCTGATGATCACTTTAGATAAGCTATTACCAGCAGGACAGTGGGGTGGGAGGAGGTATTGTTTCATATTCTCTGTGTATATATAAAGTCTGCTGCAGTTTCCACGGTATACATCTGATGAAGTGAGCTGTAGCTCACGAAAGCTCATGCTCAAATAAATTGGTTAGTCTCTAAGGTGCTACAAGTACTCCTTTTCTTTTTAGGGATAGTCTAGGTATACTTAATGCTGTCTCAGTGAGGGAGATGGATTAAATGTCCTCTGGAGGTCCCTTCCAGCCCTACATTTCTAAGATTCTAGAATTCTAAATGAGAATAGTGACACCTCTTTGAGGAAACCTAAACTAATGATATAATCATATTTTCTTACCTCCTTTTTAATTCACCGAATAACTTTCCAGAAAACTTTGTTCAATTCTAATTCAAAATTGTCTAATGTCTCCAAAAGCAAATCATCCGTTTACAAAATAGTCTGGCAGAGAAAGATAAAAATTTCAGAAAAAGTTCCTGATAATTTCAGATGAATGGTATAAAGAAATACATAACAGTGAGATTATTATCCTAAATGTAGTATTTTCACAAATTAGAGATGACACATTTAACTAGTTTTTGAGTCTGATTGTGAGTTGTAGGATTATCCCTAACTTCTGAATATAGATAGATATTATACACAGAGAAATATTATTCCAGGATTTATTTTCACTGTGGAAAATGAAAGGCACCATTATCGTTATTTATAATATTGATTTTAATATTAAAAGTATAGCTCAGAATTAGACAATGAAATATATGTAAATGATAATTACCTAAATAAACTTTCTACTTATGTATTTAATACCTTACATTTAGGCTAACTCTGCTCTCAGATATGTACATGATATTCAGTTAAAACCAAGGCGAGATACGTACCTGAAGGCAAAATTTGGTCCATTATACTTTGAATAGTATCCAAAGTAGTTGCATTGCATTAAATACAAAATAAGTTGAACCAGGAGTATTATATATATATATGCATTGATATTTAGGGCCTCATCTACCAGAGAGCATCCATCTTTCCCATTTGCAGGTTGGCTGGCTGTGAATGCTATCTGGTGGACCAGGCCTTTTATGTATGTTGGACACTCATATATCAGCTTAAGATGAGAGAGGATCTCTCTGTCTTCTCATGCATGTGAAAGCCAATTCATCTTCCCATCTGGGGTATGAGTTCCATAGGAGTAACCACCTCACAGGCTGGCGAGTTTTATTTTTTAAATTATCTGGGGGAAAAAACAATTGTCTAACAGCAGAAAATGAACAGGGAGGTGCACTGGTCAGTGGTTTTGATCATTTTGGCCTCAGGGAAGCTTGTGGCTTAGTAACAAGTCCAGGAAAACTACTGCTCAGGGTTCTAAGCCTGTACAAATCCTGGAGGAAATAAGAGAGATGTGTACTTGGTGTGTGACTAGGGGAGAGGTAGAGAATGGGTGCACGTGGTGTGTTTTTAAAGAACAGCCAACCCCACATTGGTAATTAGAGGGAATGGGGGATTAATCTTTTGCTAAATAATTCTTTAGTCATGGCTTTTATTGGAGGAGAGGAAGAGAATAGGTGCTAAATGTGTGTGGTTCCTAGTCTAGCATTTGCAAAAACAAATTAACAGATGGTGGATAAGAAACCCAAATACTACAGATTAAAATTAAGAAATCTTAAAAAAAAAAGGAAGACCAAGCTTCCAAGTGTGCAGTCTCCAGGGACCCTAAGTGGAGGCAGCACTGCTAACTCTTTTAAAACACAGTCAGAAGAGTGGGAAGGACAATATGTGCAGTTCCCAGGCCCTCCGCAAAGCCACCAAATTGACATTTAAGGGCAGGCTCATCCCTGGTGCTAGTGCTATGGGCCGTTGCAGCAGCACAGAAGTGTTCTTGCTTCTGTGCCTCATACCTCCTAACCTGCCCTGGAATGCTCTCCACCAGCCAAGTCTTGGTCTCTTGCACACAGTCTGCCTGAACCAGCTATGTGTAAGGGGGGGAGTCAAGAGGGGGGGAAGAGAGACAGTTCTACTGCCGCAGTTCAGCTCTTTGCCTATGGTCAGAAGGAAGGAGTAAGATTTGGCTCCTTAGACACTTCGGATGACTCCCATTCACTTCAATGGGCCTTTAATCAGGCACATATAATTTGCCCTCAATATAAATACTAGTTATATAGGCCTAAGGAGAACAAACTCCTAAGGGCTTAATAAATACAGGGTTTAATAAATATACTGTACACATTGTCCATATGCGCTGGAAGAAGAACAGGAGACACTAGATGTGGTGTAATTAGGCCACAACTTTATTCTTAAATGTCTGGGAGTACCCAGCAGATAAAAGTGTACAGTGTAGGTAATTCCATAATCATTTCACTATGTACCCAGGGGGCTTCCATCAGCCTACCCCCTTACCCATCCTGGTCCCCAGCCAGCTGGCTGCTGGGACCTCACCAAAATGAGGGCTAGGGGGTGGCTATAAAGGAGGAGCCCCAAACACTTCCTGTTTCTGCTCTCTTAAATCCTTTACCAATCCACTTTATCTGATCCCTGTATCCATTCCCTAAGGAGTACTGGCAATGGACATCCGCCCAACCATGTGAGGATGTGTGATATTATAGCCTAACTCCCATTTCATGTTTGCCCCAACTAAGCCCCCTAAAACTCGCTGTGGGGAAGGTGGAAAAACCCCATTTCACCTTGGCCAATCTGGCAGTGAAGGAAAAATTTCTTCCCAGCACCCCAAGAAAGGAGCAAATAACACAATACCCACAGCAAAGCCTGACAAAACCTGGGATTTCACTACTTCCACAGATAGGTGCTGCTCCGTCTGGTTCAGGTAAAAGAGGGCTTTTCCTGCAGCAGCATGGACCTTTAGAGTCCCCCCTGTTTTCTGGTAAACCTGGGAGGGATGGATCAACATCCCCATGCTGACCTGGTCATCAGCTGCAGCAAAGTCATTCCCTGGCTCTCTAGCCCTTACAGGGGCACACACCTTTTCCAACAAGCCAGCCAAAGGTGCCCACAGCTTAATGTGTGAGGAGGTCATTATAATGTGCTATTTTAAAATAGATGCATTTATAGATCACCTTTCATCCTGAGACGGGCCAAAGCACTTTACCAACTATGAATCTGTCTCTATACTTTTCTCTGTTAGTATGGGCAACTCCTGCAGATGTTAATGGAGTCTCTAGCTGTGAATCAAGGACAGTGTACAGCCCTAAATACAGGAATTGCTTCACACCACTCCTGTCACTTCACACATATATGCTGTTGCCATGTTTGAATGAATATTTTGTATTTCCTTTCTGCTGGCAGAATCATGTTTAAGCAATAGTATACCTGAGATGTGCATTATATTTATTTCTATTTATTGTGTAATAGTACTTTATACAACTCATGTTTCATACTGAACATCCTCCTAGCTTGTACTTTTTGTTCTGATGCTTCATCATATACATGCGCACTTACTGGGCTAAATTCCCATGAAGACAATAGAGTTATATCAGGGATGAATCTGGCGCATTATCTTAATGATTTCTGTTTTACAGTGTTCATCAAGATACTGCAGAGTGATTATGCCAAAAGGCTTTTCTGATTTTCCAGAATTATCATTTTGTTAAGATTCTCATCATGTACTTGAAATTCTGGCAGCATCAGTGGCTGTGTATGTGATTCCCAGGTTTTTCTCTTTTCCTTGTGTAGCTCCAGTAATGATTTGTCTCTCATCTAATGTGACTTCTGTCGAAAAATACTGTATATTACAATTGTACATGCTGATGTTCCCCAAGATAAGTTTTGCAAAGGGAAGAGGGCCAAATGTCAGAAACCCTGAAAAAAAAAACCCTACAAAGTGGGAGGTTTCTTATATTGAAAATTTTCATCATTGGAGTTTGTAGAAAGTTGTTTTTAGTATGTGATGTTATAACACGAAACACAAAATCCGTTCATTGTGTTAGTAATAGCTAGAAAAAGTTTTGAAAGGCATATCTTTGAAAACAGCATAACCGGATCCAGCTATACAATATCTATCTATCCTCATCAAGCCATTGTTATCCCACTGCAAGGCCAAGGTCTCCTCAACGCTGTTCCTCTACATCATGCTGAAGGGCTTGGCAAAAACCCCATGACACCTGAGGGTGCAAGCTGACGAGGCTGTGTTATCAATCATCAAGTCTGTTTCCCCAGCAACCTTGCTACCAACCCTGAACTAGCACATTGCTAATCCCAATGGCAAGAGTTGTCAGGCTCATTGCCATTGACGGACGCCTTAGGTCCAAGCCATGTGTATACACTCATTCCGATCGTTTTGGGGGGGATAACATGAATTTAAAGCAGTGTAGCAGTGAGTAATGATAACCGTAGTGGCTAGTATGGTGTCCTATAACTTTAAATATACGTTTAAAAAAACTAAGCAACAAGCTTTAAATGTAGAATGTTTTCTGCAGTGGTTTTGTGGAGATAATTTGTAAAATGGTGAATGTTAACTGTTTGTTGCTTTTTTAGAAATAACTTTAAATTTCATAAGCCTTCTTGTGTAACTTTATTACTCTTGTATGGGATA